CAGAGAGAAATGAAGAGGCATATGGTGGGCATGAGCAAGCTACAATATATACCTAATGAGGAACTCCGAAGAAAGGCAATAAACAATGTCATTAAGGAGTTATGTGATAGAAAGAGAAGACAGGCTGCTATCATGACAAAAATGAGAGATGACAGATGGACAACCAGAGTGTTCTACTGAAAACCTCACAATATTAAGAGAGAGTATGAGAGACATTGAACATGACAGGTGGACTTATTGTGGCCATATACAGGGAGATGAAGGATGGGAGTTGCACAGGATAAGTAAGCATGGATAGGTTGCAAATCTGCATTATTTGACGGAGCTTCCAAACTGATGAGATCTTAGATTTGTTGGTGTTGTTATTAGGTTGTTTCAGTTGTGTCTGACTGACTCTTTGTGATCCCATATCTTGGCAAAGATACTGGAGTAGTTTTTCATTTCCTTCTCTGCTTCATTTTTACAGATGACCATTTGAGTCATCTTTGCCAACCTGATGAAATGTGAGGTTGAACTCCAGAGCTGTTTTAATTTACATATCTCTAATTATTATTGATTTGGAGCATTTTCCCTACATGGTTATTGATAGCTTGAGTTTGTTCATTTGAGAACTACCTATTCATTTCGTTTGACCAATTATCTATTGGAGAATGGCTCTAATATATTTTTGTATTAATTTTAATATACCTTGGATATAATAACTGTATCAATTAAATTAGCTGTGATATTTTTCCTCCTAATTAATTGTGAATACAAGTCAATGAGGCAAATTGTAGTATGCAGGCTACAGATTTTAATACTTGGATGATGTGATGATGTTAACTTCTCTAATGATCTGTTCATATGGAGGTCCTATGTACTCAACACTACTTGCAAAGGCTTCCCTGGGAGATCTGTGGTTATCAGCTTCATTCTTACAGCCTCTTGTAACTTGCTTGTAACTTATCTTGCACATTTACCTGAGCTGCTTCCTGTTTTCCTGTTAACAGTACACTGAAAAGCATTTATTAAATGCCTACTGTGTGCCAGGCACTGTACTCAGAGCCTAAGACAAGCAAAAGGCCAAATTTGCTCTTAAGGAGCTCAAAGGATAATGGGAGAGAAAACATGAAAATAACTATGTAAAAATAAGGTAAAGGATAAAATAGAGATAGATAATCAACAGAGGGAAGGCACTGGCATTTGGAGGGATTGAAAAAAGCTTCCTGTAGAAGGTAGGATTTTAGCTGGGGGCCTTGGTCCCTATTTCTCCACCTGGGGCCATTATATGGCCTTGAATACATTGCATTTTTGTTTCTTCTGTCTCATTATTCATTCTTTTCTACTACTCTTAGATGAATGAGTGAATGAAGCAGAATATATTAGGCTACAACTTTGTGAGTTTCAAAACTCTCTAGTTGTAACTCAAACTCATTGGAAGAACTACCTGGAGTAAGAGGCCCAGAAATGGATTTTCTGGCAGCTTAACCCTGTGAAGAGCTAGTCCAGAGGACTGACTGGTTTGACTCATATCAGTAATAAATCAGCCATTTTATTGTTGTTTTGTTGTTCAATTGTTTTTAGGTTGTGTCTGATTCTTTGTGACACTATTTGGGGTTTTCTTGGCAGAGATACTACAGCAGTTTACCATTTCCTTCTCCAGCTCATTTTCTAGATGAGGAAACTGAGGCAAACAGGGTTAAGTGACTTGCTCAGGGTCACAGAGCTAGATTTGAACTCAGGAAGAGGAGTATTCCTGACTCCTGGCCTGGCACTCTATCCACTTTGCCACCTTGCTGCCCAGAATCAACTGCTACATTTCTCTTATTATTGATTTGGGCAATTTTTTTCTTAATATGGTTGTTGATAGCATGTGTTTCTTCATTTGAGAATTGCCTAGTCATTATTTGACCACTTATTTTTTGAGGAATGGCTCTTATTTATGTATTTTTGCTTCAATTTTTAATATATCTTGGAGATTCTAATTGTCCTGTAAGCAACTCGTTCATCATCTACACTGTATTTGGAAGTGAATTGGCAAGAGGAATGTTTGTAATGACCACTTAAAGTCAGAGTCCACTCTCCCCAGAGACTGAAATGGTAGAGGGGAGACTTTGCCTATTTAGGGGAATTTAGTTTGTACTTCTGTTCTCTCTATACCTCTCAGTAAATACTCCTTTGTAAAACCTCATTGATATTAATAGCTTATTGAAAATATTGAGAAGATAGTAACTGGTCAAAATTATATTGGGGATCTAATAATAACCAGTGAGATGCTATTAGAGAGGTCACTGGTCTATTGATATTAGGAGGAAAATACTGGACTGGGGCTGGAAGCAATAGCAACAGCCCCTTGGGGTGCCCATAGAAGAACCCTGAACAGAGATGGAACAGTAGCTGAGCTCTGGGAATCCTACCTACCCCGGAAGTGGAATTGGAAGAGTAAGTTCAGAGCCTTGCTGTATAACTGCTGCTCAGAGTCATTGTGGGGTTAGAAACAGGTATAAATGCCTGAATCATTTCTCTGTGGATCCTTTTCTTAGGTACAAACTCTGTAATACTTAATGTACTATCAAATCAGAGAAATTGAGAGTTAAAGGCTCAAAGTGTGTATAGTCCAACCCATGCCTCAATAAGAGTCTCTTTAGCAATATCTCTGAGAAATAGTTATCCAGTTTCTGCTTGAAGACCTATAATGAGGGAAACTCATTACTTCTTAATAATTGATTAATTTATTTTTCGTTTTCAACATTCACTTCCATAAGATTTTGAGTTTTAAATTTTCTTTTCCTCCTTCTCCTCCCCCCTCCCCAAGACGGCATGCAATCTGATATAGGCTCTACTTACACGTTCATTTTAAGTGTATTTTCACATTAGTCATGATGTAAAGCAGAATTTGAACTAATGGGAGGAACTATAAGAAAGAAGAAATAAAACAAAACAA